TTCTAAGTAGTATAAATAGTAAATCAATGTAATATAATTTGATACAATGTAATGTATTATTAATAATATATACAGAGACAAATTAAGAATATAGATGGTCCTTAAGCACCGTTAGACACATCTCCACCAATTTTCATTTTGAAAGATTGAGAGTCTAGAAGAAGTTCAGGAAGAACGGCGCCGTTGTTTCCCTAGCACCCTAAACCATAATCCTTTTACCTCCCAGTTTCTTCAGATCTGGTATACACGGAACGTAAGTCACTTGTTTTTCTATATTAACGTCTTCATCCTGGGTTAAGACATTTGTTTCTCATCGAATTGTCGGGTCAAAGACGAAACCCTGGTTCTTTATCTTATCTATGAAAATGATGTTGGCTCTTCTGTTTTGTGCTTCAGAATCTGCTTCAGCTTGACAATGGATTTTTTCGTAAATCTCAAATTTTTTTTCACGGAATAAAATAATTACCTAGGATTGAACGATTCTAATGTGTTATGTATGTCCTTACTGCATATGTCCGATTATATCAAATGATTTGGATTCGTCTAACATTACCACACGGTAATATTTCTTGTTCACTGTCGCATTTTTCAAACATCTATCTACTATCTACTATCATCTATCTCTTCTATCTATGTGTGCCGGACAGACCTCTCACACTGTTTAAGCAATTTGCGATCAAGGCTCTTCTTGATTATGAGCCTTAATATGTTTAATATTGTTATGGGACTCCAATTATTTGTCCATTTATATGTTTTCAATCCTTATATATTAAAACTGTGCTCCAGGCTCCTAATACGAAATTTTTTTGGCACATAATTATTTGCAATCACGAATGAGCCTATTTCATGAATAACTCTAGATGCTTGTACTAATCTCACTGTCCTCAAGAGAACTCTATCGAGTCCAGGCGATGTGTCAATAGAAATACTCATTATGCCTTATGGATTCCATTAATCCATTCATAGAGTCATGAGTTAATTTGAAAGGTAGGATTGCTTCGCCAGCATTCACCTCATAATTTTCTCGCACGCCGTTATTGGGTACCTATCTCAAACATAGGGGAATAATATTGTTCTACTTAAGCTTTGTCTGATGTTAATTTTGACTTGTTATTAGATTGTAAACTACTTTCCTGCGCTGATCCGCGTATCGCCACTGGGCTAAATCGTAATAATATTTATCATTTATATGTTGCCGTTGACGCTTGGTCGAGCGTTGGGGATTCGTTGTTTATTCCTATCAAAAATCAAAATTTTGAAAACTACAAATTCATTTCAATAGGCCCCTAAATAATAGCCTGTACTCTAGGTCCAACAGCCCCCCTCCCCATTTGTGGGGCCCTGATTATACCTACCATTTACCCATATCGGCTACCGTGGCGTTGTTGTATAAATAATGTATAATACTATTAATTATACTATACGAGCCCAATATATTATATTGTAATAGCCTGCAACAGGTATATTTTAATTGCACCATAGTATTAATTGGAATTGGTTTGTCGATACAATTTATTGAATAACGAATAACAGAAGTCATTAACTTCATAATATTATAAATTAGCGCATCAAACACTGCAGTAGTTAGCGACGTTGCACATACATATTTTATATTATATGATTTCAATAATTGTTAGCTTATATTGTGATATTTTTTCAATCAATATTTATCTATCTGTTAAAACAGTTGGTTCGGAAAAAATGTTTAGAGAAAACTCATTATAAACTAATCAATTAAGTATAGGTGCCGAACATATTAGTGCGCACGGGGTGGACCAGGTGGGCCTTGGCCCTCCCTGCGAGCTGTAACATACCTACTTATTATATAGATGGCAACCTAGATCATACACTACATAGTTGTATTGCCTTATTCTGTGGTATAAGCATTCTGATTTTAAATTTTTTTATACCAACAAAATTAACAAGATTTTCTTAAATCTATAAAATATGCAAACAAAAAATGGTTCTATTTAATCGAGGGTAAAGTAAATCGTAGGCATATATTTCAATATATCCTATCAATTTGGACTTAAGGAAAATAATATGCAAATGCATATAAATCCTAGCCCTACTTATGAATAAATATATATACATTATTATACCTTAAAATTTAAACAGTAAGTGATGATCGGTGAGTAAATTAATGTAATTTTATAGATAACAGTGTTTAAAATAATTTGTTTCAAGTATCATTGGCCCACTCTACCACAACGGGCTGCGCACGCCTATGGTGCCGAATACTTAAGTGTACTCAAAATTTAAAAATTTAAAACACTTGAAATAATTTGTAGGAACAATATGCGTACATTGTTTTTGCACTTATAGTCCTCGACCCGCGTGTCTAGTTTAGGCACTCGATACAGTGTAATCGCAACTTCATACATATTTTACGAAGGACTAAACAACATTATAATATAAACACAAAATATACACACAATATACACATATGCATAATCTGACGCTATTAGTGAAACAATAAAAAAATAAAATTCGTACGCAACTTGTTATCGTAACAAACGTAGGTACATACTTATATAAGGAGGTGGGTACTTATATATATATGTACATTGTACATTGTACAATATACAGTCGATACACATCCGTGTCCACGCATAATATATTTTATTACTGTATATACGGCTTTATAGTAGGTACCTATATCCAAACGTGCTTATCGAAAACAAACAGACATTTTAAACGGCTATCTGTATTATAATATATAGGTACACTGATTGTGCTAATCAAAGGTTATAATAAATAATAATTTGTTTTTTCACACACGCACTGTATATGCATAGTGCACACTACCGGTGTTTTATTCGTCGTCGTCGTCACGCGTTCAGGCCGCAGTTCACGTTTAGTAGACGAGTATAGCAGAATAACCATTTATACTAACTAGGTACGGCGTATACTGTGAATATGTTGAAAATCGGATTTTTCGGTGCCGGCAAAATGGCTCAGGCTTTGGCCAAAGGTTTCTTGTCGGCCGGTGAGTTTCGGCAATCTGCCGTTTTTTCTATAGTTGCATTTATTTTTCGTACTCATCCCCACGGTATTCTTATATAAACATTTTTTCGACGCAGGTCTCGTCAAAGGAGAAAACATCACAGCCAGCTGCGCCCCACAAGACACGCAATGCGTCGAAGCTTTCGAGGTGAGTCGAACGAGAACATCGGGGATTTGGTATATATACTATACCCGTATGTACCCGTAAGTCAAATATTAATACTAATCACAGTGCCTGTCGAATTCGACATTGATTGATGACAGGGATTCGGATCGAAAGTGACTTTCGACAACCAGTCTGTGGCCGACAACTCCGATGTCCTACTGCTGGCCGTTAAACCGTCCGTGGTCAAGACGGTATTGGACCAGATCCGCCCGAATTTCACGTCCAGCAGACACCTGTTGCTGTCCGTCGCCATGGGTGTCACCGTAAATCAGCTGGAAAACGTGCGTATTATTCATACTTTTTTTCTTCTTTTAATCATCGCGAGTGATGAAATTCCGATCACACCGTGATCATAATAATATATATACCTTTTTAGTGTTTGAAAATTTCATGAAATATTTCAGTATTTTAATATACCCATTTTGTTTATTTTAATAAGTTTTATATTACATATAATTGTCATAAATTACCTTTATAACTGTATGGTACCTGTATGTAAACCTAACCTTTGGTATTATACATTTAAAATGGTATTCAAAATTTTTAAATATTTTAATGTTTAAATGATACAAGGAGGTACCTACACAATATTTTACATGTATATTCTATACCTACTGAATTCTGACAAATATTTCATACTTCAAACACTATACTTATTATTATGTAACTTGACGCGTGGTATAGGTATCTATACAGGTATATATAATATGTACCGGTATAGGTATCTATACAGGTATATATAATATGTACTTATGACTAATGATCCAACTAAATCGCAATGATAATCGATAGGTGTGATTATAGGATTTCTACGATTAGTCCGTCTTAGGTTAAATTTCTTTTAAATGGCGTAAAAGTTTTGACTAAACATTTCGTGCCAACTGAGTGGTGTCGCGTTGCTGAACGCGGTAAACTACGAAGATTATCGACGACTAAATTACTCAGAGGCGGCCGTTTCGTCCTACGATCATTCCGCCACTGACTATTATACTGTCGCACGAACATATTATGTTATGCATGTTTAATATATATTGTATAAGCGTTTTCCGAAATAAACTTATTTTGCGGATGTCACATTTGAAAGTTGGCGGAGGGGAACGCGTCCAATATCTCGATATCAATTAAAATATTATTATTCATACTTGTATTTGCACGTGTGCGAGGGTAATTTAATTCAATAAAACTGAGGGTGACTAATTGAACGATAAACGTACACACTATAAAGACGCACGCGATGCATATAGTGTTTGTTGTTGTTGGTTATTATAATGTTATGTCTTATCACCGCAGGTTATAGAATTCTATATATCTGTGTGTTTTCGATAACATTGAGACACGTAATTACATGCCTAAATGGGTTCATAGACGTTCGAAAGTTTAAATTTCCATCGGTAGAAAAATGAAAAAACATCATAAATCATAATATACTAGCTGATCCCGTGCACTTCGTTTCCCGTTAAATGTACCGACTCTATATGACTCAAACATTGTTCAATGCGTTATTTAATATTTGGTGTATGATGTTCTAGATTTATCTTAACTTTTCTGTTGCCCGGAATAAAAATTCTGAATTGCAGCAGTACATTATCAGATAGGTAATTTACCTGGGGTAGATCGCGGACCCCGTGCTGTTTGTACGTAAGTGTATGATTTAACTCAAAAAGTACCAAAGTTATACCAAGTTTGACGTTTTTACTTAATTCCACCTACCTATAAATCCTAACCTAACATAACCGTACTAAAATCCGATGAATAAAAAAAACCAAATTTAACCCTTTTTAAATTAGCGTATCTTCTTCCCATAGGTCTAATCTACACACCGTCATTCATTTATATATAAGATATATTTACAAAAAATAATAATACAAATCAACAAACATGCCCGATTAACCAATAGCAACCAATATAATATAATACACCATAGAGTAAATAAAGACAACGGTATCGAGTTCAAATCCCAGACATCAATAAATGTTTTTGCAGTTTTTCTAATTATTCGGTTGACTTTTTAAAAATTTTCTTTCTTAAAAACCTTCACCTGGCAATTACGAACATCTTAAAAAAAATTTGAGCAAAAGGCCGTTCTCAAACTGATACAATTTCGAATTTTTTGTCTCCATTTTTATATATATAGATTATTATATATTCATATACTTATAATATTGTTATGACGATGAATACCTACGTATATTAATGTTTATATTTTTATTTTTATAATTGAAATTATCTTCAAAGTGTTTAAGGGCACGGCGGAAAGCTATTGTTTTCCTAATACTTAATACTAAAATAGTTTTTAGACATACTTATTATTGAGATTTCAAAGTTAATTACTTTTTTTCAAGTGTATTTTATGTGGGAGAGGGGTGGGGACTTAGGTTAAAAAGTATGTAGTTCGATTTCTGGCAGCGGGTCATATAGTTTCCTATAAGTGTTTGTTTTAGTAGTTAATTATTTTATAAACAAAGTTGATTGACGTCAGTCATATGGTTGATTGAGTGTATAAAATCGATAACGTTAATCAAAATAAGGTTTAGGTTACGGTACCGAGACAAAAGTAGAACAGGTTAAAAAAATAATTCTAACTAGACATATAAGTCCTCGATAATGTGCACACGTCAGTAGGCATCATTAATTAAATTTAAATATCTAGTATAAACAGGGCTGTGAATTCAACGCACTAATAAACTGTTAAGTATTCATGCACTTGTGCTCATTAAAAATTGGCAAATTTGCTTTAAGAAAATAATCATAATATATAAATAAATGTTATTATTACATTTGTCAAGGTTATTGTTTGTTATTACCTATTCTATTTTATATAAAGTTATTATTATTGTTCATACAATTATTCTGTGTATAAAAATACGAATACCGATCATATTAGTACGTATAATATAGTAATAGGTACCTACGTGATATTTCTTATCAGTGTTTTATTCGTCGATAAGCACTGTTTTCGACAATATTTAAAAAAAATATTTATTTTAGTAAATAAAATTTAATTTAGGTATAATTTAAAATTTCACAAAAAAACATTCTAATAATTATGATTGGCAGATTTTCCACAAACACTTTAAATAATGAAAAAAAAGATATGAAGTTTTTATTTACTATTTGCAATCTAGTATATTATAATATTCGTATAGGTATAAAGTAAATTTTAATTTTATCGAACTTTATTGTATAGGTACGCGTAATAACGAACAAAACATGCAAATACATTATAAACGATATTGGTAACTACTTTTTTATTATTAAAATTTATTTATTTGTATGTACAAGCTACGGCTTACGAATTTTCTTGTCATCCGTAATATGGATATTCCTTATATAATAGTTTTATTAGGTACCTATACTATAGTTAATAGTTATTAATTATTATACCTATTTTAATCATAGATTTGAGTATTTAAATTAATTTATTTTAATTTTAATTACCTTCATAGTATTAATTATTCATCTTATAAATGTTTGAATCTTAGAAGGTAATTTTACCTAATTGAAAAAAATAAGAAATAATTTTAACTATTATACTATTATACTTCCTAAGAAAAAGTAACATGATTCATTTCTAATGCGTTTTACTTAAAAAAATTTATTTGATACATATTATATGTTATTAGGTGCGTATTATACTATTTCACCGCATAATACACCATTTTTAATGCTTGAGAGAATTCGGCTTGTAATAGAAACGATTCGTTTTAAAATTATTTCTGTACCTGTATATACCTATAATGACATTACATGCAATAACAGTTTGAAAAGAAAACTATTCTATCGGGTTGAGGTTATAATTTTGTATAGATTATCAATTATCACTATAGGTACATGTTACATATACAGTGATTTGATCTGTGTAATTACTAATGTAGGAGGGAGAGTGCTTTAAGAGCTTACATAAGCTTACTAAACATTTTATAACAATATTTACCAACTACTAGCTATGAGTATTATTATTAATTAATATTAATATGGATATAATCTTTAAACCTCCAAAAACTTGATTCCTGCAGTAGTGGGACGTATTAAAGTTACTAATTTATTTTAAAAAGTAGCATAATATAAATATTGTTAACAATATTTTCTTTTATTGAATAATAATATATCAATGACATTTTTTTTTGTTTTAGCTCTTACCGGACGGATCGAGGGTAATGCGAGTAATGCCCAACACTCCTGCCTTGGTTCAGTGCGGTGCTTCCGTGTACGTGCCGGGCAATCGGGCGACGGTCGAAGACGAGAAGCTGACGGCAAAACTTTTGTCGTCCGTGGGCACGGCGGAGCGCGTTCAAGAGTACTTGATGGATCCGATCACTGCTCTCAGTGGTTCCGGTCCGGCATACGTGAGTCTTAAGTCTAAACGTGGTGTGATATAGGTGCAGGGTGTATCCGGACAAAAACATTTTCCCCCATAGTTCAAACTTCAAACCGTCAATCTTCAGCTGGTTACCTACCTAATATTACATCCTCGTAATACATTATGTACATAGTTAGTCAGACATCCAATAATTTTTTCATAAAATAATTTAGGAAAATCATTAGGTGGAACTATATTATATACCTATTATGTTATATCGAATTGAATCACACAGTCAAGCTTATACTATGTTGCCGGCTAAGTGGTTAGATCGGAAGCTTAATAGCTTATAATATTATGTAATAATATGTTGTACCTATTTTATACCCATTATTGTACCGCGGAAAAACGTTTTATATTGTGACTTAATAATATTCTATGTGCATGTTCGTCCTAATATTATATTGAATTACTGCGGTCAGTCCGTTCGTAAATTATATGTGTATTCTATAGACTATAACTCGTTTAAAGTACCTATAATATTATAATAATGATATTTCTGTAAAACGTTTCAGTCGTCATTCTTATGACTTGCCAATTATTTCATATTTGATTTTAAATTTTAAAATAATATTTTAGCATTTCTAGACATTTATAAAATAATTGTGATAGTAATGAATTCGAAAAGTATAACTAATTTTTAATATTAATATGCAAGCTTTCATAGTTACACATATGATTGGAATTTTAATTTTACAATTATTCAGGTATAGGGAAGAAAGAAAAAGAAAAAAATCATTGTTTGTGATAGGCTCATTATGATATTGGAATTCACAAAAATAGTATCAATACTACCCATTAAACGTCATTATCTTGTAAACAACACATTTACTTATTCAAGTAGGTATTGAACATACATAAGTGAAATTGTGCTCATATGATATTGTCAGTTATATAATGTCAATATAATATAATAATAATAATATATTGTATTTTATCCTATAGTATACACAGTACACATACATATTTTAGATTAAATTAAAAATGTTTAAAAACTTAAGCTAATTTTTTTTTTTTTAATAAATCAAATACCTAGGTACCTAAAATTATGTTATTGACAATGAATTATGATAATGGCTATCTTATTATTATACAATAAGATATATTGAAGTTCGTTATTACTTGTTTGTCATTGCTCGAGTCAAGTTTCGAGTATTTCAAATTATTATTATAACAATAGTGCATGTTCCATAATATTTAATATTAAAACCGTTTATCAAAAATATAATATACATGTTTTTGTTGTAATAAAAGTACCGAACATTTCAGCGCGTGTCGGGTTCCTATATAATTATTATTTTTTACGAATGCGACGTACAATAGCTGTCACTTTATCCATGTTATGTGATTTTATTATGGTAAGTGGTTCTCGAGTCTTGCGCATGGACATTGGAGTGCAACATAATATTATGTAGTCTTATTATGAAGTCGTGTAGGTACTAGGTACCCCAAATCCCAATAACATAAACATATTTATTATATATACTGGGTGATTCATTTCTAAACGGCCACACTAATTTCCTTTGAGAATAATTGTAAATTCGAAAAAAATAACACTTCATTTTCACAAAAACCTTACCTACTTTGAATGTAGTGATTTCATAAGAGTTTTAATATAATTGTATATAATTTAATAATATCGTATTTTTAACTTTGTGATTCCGAATCAGAATATACTTTTCTAAAGACTGTACCACCGTTAATTATGCTGTTAACCACGGTTACTGAACGAATAGTTTTTCTCCGAAATTTGGCGTGGTTTAATGTTATAATATATTATATTTACCAGCGAACTCTTACTATATATTATAATACTTACAGGTGTACGTGATTATCGAAGCTCTGGCCGACGGTGCCGTTCGCATGGGCATGCCTAGAGACATGGCCTATAGATTGGCGTCGCAGACTGTCCTGGGCGCGGGGACCATGGTTCGAGAGACGAAAGAACATCCGGGAAAACTCAAGGACGACGTTACCTCACCAGCGGGTGAGTTGGGTCTTACATATTATACGCAATGCGATTCTGTTAACAGCCAATATAATCGTTATTTCGAGAGAGCGACAAGTTTTCCGGACGATTACAATATATAATACTCACAATTATTACATTTTGCATCGCATACATTTTCTTCACTGACTTAGACGTAAAGATAGAAACACTATAGAGACGAGTATTATTGGAGTATCTCATATTACAGTATAGACTGTCGGTAATTGTTTTCAATCTCATCAAAACACCCAAGCTGTATATGATCTATATTATTATTAAACGGTATTCTATTATTCCGACAGTGTAAAATTATATGCCTAACTAGGTATATTATAGATGTATGTACCTATGATATATTTTGGTGAGCGCCTGCTACCACAAAAACATTATTATATCACCAAATATTTCGCGTCAGACGTTATGTAATTTCCAGACACACGATTAATACACCGTTTTGACACGCATTTACTGTCATTTTTAGAAAGTATATAGGAATATAGTCTAGTAGGATTTATAATAAACATATATTCGCCTGAAATTTATATATTGGACAATTGGTTTATTGTAGGTACCTATGATATATATACGTGTTTTGTGTCAACTATACAACGTGCAAGTCCCGATTTCAACTATAATCGATTATATTTTATTTTTGCGTTTGATGTAGATATTAACGTTTTGCAATATTATTTTAATTTACATTTTATTTTTACTTCAAAAACACAATGATGATAAATAACACAAGTATTTTACTCGTCTAAAGCTAAAATTAAATTTTTATTGAGGAGAAAAGGGTGATGGATTTTTAAGTTTTAAAAATATGAGGTACCTCCAATATTATGACAATATGATAATAGTAGTTCCTAGGAACAATATAATATTATAGTACAATTTTTTGTTTTAACTTTTAAGGTTCCCTTATAATTTTACATAATTTTATTTTGAATCTTTGAATTGTGATATATAATAAAATTACAATATTGAAAAATACTCAATACAATTTAACTAAGGAACAAGCTAATTTATCACAATATGACAAAGAAATTCAAAATCCCAGACGCCCTTGGTGCATTTTAATTATTTGTTATCTTTAAATGTTAGAACCAATATTTACAATGACTTTTATTAAAATGCTTCCACTATGAATCCATATACAGGTTCTACGGCGGCCGGTCTCTGTGCTCTGGAACATGGCGGTCTAAGGTATACAATCATTGACGCTTTGGAAAAAGCTACGGAAAAATGTAAGGAAACTTCAAAGGCGCTTTAAACAAATCGCCCGGTGTAAGCATTTGCGTTCACTGTATATCTAGTCTAATTGACAATCATTTTCTAAATCATTTAACTGTTTAAATTTGAATTGTACATGTTTTATACTATATTATTATTAACTAATTTTAATAATTTTTTACGATTGTGTTCAAATTACATATTTTTTTGTTCTTATTTAATGTTTATTGTTTTTTCTCTATTAATCAAGTTTCCCAAGTACCTAATTCAGATAGTTCAAGGTTCACCAATATATTTCTCTATAAAATCTTAAGAGGTATCATTAATATTATAATCATAGTGAAAACGGTTATGAAGGAGGTAGGTACTATACTGAATTTACATTTATACAATAATAATAAATTATAATTCAATAATATAAAAGATAATATTATGGTATTATCTAAATCATGTTCGTAATTTCAATAATATTTAAGTACTATTAAGGATTCCTAAAATTTCAATAACTCAGATATTGTCTATAATCTATAATATTATCTGAATTATTTTAGTTAAAGACATATCACAATGAGTAGGTATGTTATTGTTGTATTAATTACTAATGTACAATGTTGAGGCCGAAGTCACGATTGTTGTACGTGTATCACAATGAATGTATCTTAATAGCCTATTAGTCATCATTGGCCATGATAAAAGTCAAATAAAACTTTGGAATAAATGACATAAATTTAACCTTTGGAATACATGACATGTCAATAAATATAATATACATATTTTTTACTGTACAACCAATTTACCTCCTAATGTTATGATAATATTTATAGAAAAGAATGTACCTGCCTACCAATTTATTCTTTTAAATTCGTATAATCACCTAATCGCCTTTAAAATTTATAAAAATAATTAACGTATATTATTATACATAATGCCAAAAGCTATTAGGTACCATTTTTTTCATGCCTTCGTATGCTCTATAAGCATAGCAAGTATTTCACTGTAGAAAATGTTGATTGTGGAAAATACTAAATACAAAAGGTGGGTCACGGTGTTTTTTCGTATATAAGGTTAACATATAGGAAAACGGGAAACACTGTGGCACATCCTACAGCTTATATAGGTATATATATATATATATTTTGCCTATAATTATGTATTGATTATGTGATTTAATGAGTAAACTAAAAGACCATTTTTTTCTATAACTTGGTTTGTTTTCTAGCGTTCTATGATCATTGACACTGTGGCGATACAAAGAATAAATTCCTTTTCTTCAAACGAAAACCCCTCTATTTTACTGTTAATCGTTGAGCAGATGAATTGTAAAGTATATTGAAGACTGAAGTATTAATAGTTACATATTATACGTTTTACATTAATCGCATAAATCGAAATACGGATGACTGGACGAGCGTGGTTGACAACAATATGAAATTCATCTAAACTCGTCGAGACGCTTTCCGCTATTACGTCAGCGAAAAAATTGTACTCGGATTGCGGTCAATATCATCTAGACAAATATCGTGAAAATCCTGTCATTCATGATATAATATAACATTGACTTATATTGTGTGTGTGTGATATGTTAATAACGTCGTTTATTCGGTAGGTATAATATAATGGCAAACGTCACGGAAAAATAATAAAATCGAAATTAATTATTATTATAATTGTATATTTTTAAAGCGACGTTTTCACTAGCGTACACATACCAATCATTCGTTTTGACAACATTTATATTGTCAGCTTGCCTCCACAATGATAATGTTCGATGTCGACACATATACGTAGTATCATAACGACAAAGCGTCATGCTTATACCTATATTATATTATTATTATAATATAAGAAAAATGTATAATATTCTGTGCGATGGATATTATATGCGTATAATAGCAATATAACCGTCGGTTAGTGCAACAGCGGTGTAGTATAATATTTTGTAGATAATATAATAATATTATGTTATATTATATTATTATATCGATCGGTTTTATAACCAGCATTGAGAAATCCTAAATATACAGCCGTTTCTGTTATGCAATCGTCTCGGATTTACGCGGACGTGGAAAGAAAAAAACGATCGAAAAAAACAAAACGGATTTTACGGACTACTTGGCATATCGAACTGAAATCGGGTGACGCGTTTCACGTGTCGTCCAATGGGAACGATATACGTATTACGAAAGGGCCACACTCGGAAGGTAAGACGGTTTAAAAAAAAAAATTGTAATAAAAAGTCTTTCGTGCATTTGTTTTCTCGACCTGTTATTTTATGTGCATGTGTGTTGTTGACTTATAGTCACACCCGACCGCGAAAAATTTCTCTCGGACACAACTCCTCTATATAGTTGGTAGGCGTTTACTACTTTACACCCTAATGGTCTTGTACGAGACTAAAAACCACGAGATTTCGACACGAGACGTTTCCTTGCGATGGTTAGCAGAGGTTCTGTCCAATCAAATCCATCCATTATCATATTAGTCTAGATACAATTTTTCAAGTACGTTTAGAGGTCATAGCACCCGCATACGTTATCGCCGTCTTACACACGTGGAAGGCATAGGTAGAAAATTTTCGGTTTAAGTATATAGGGTGCTGTCTGTTTTGATATTGGAGTGAATATTGACCTATTAACAAACTTTTAGGTAACATCATCATCTGTATTCTCTCGTAGGTTTTTACGATATTTTAGTTTTTAAGTGAATTACGATCATTTACAAATATCATGTATTATGTTATACATCCAACCATAACTCACGTCCCCTAAAAAAAAATTTAAAACGTAAAGTAAAATAGTAATTACCATCAATTATTGGTTGTTAATATCTCAAGCAACCAGGTTTGATTTTAGGAAAACATTTTAAGAACTTATGCATATAATGTTAACGGAATATCAATATAATATCATTTGGATAGCATTTAAATTAGAAAAAATATTTGTATTTATCAAAATTGAGTTTGGGCCATAGTTTTGAGTATGAGTTAAAATATTTTATGGACAAAAATTTAGTTGAAATATATATTTTTCAAATCATTTAACTATTATATGACAATGCATTGACATATTATATCTTGCTGCAAGCCTATGGTGCCTGTAAATTTTCAAGAATCACCAAATAATTTCGATAACTTCAAACGATGGAATATTTTTAACGGGCTACAAGAGTTTCATTAAAAAATGTTGTTACTTCCAAGAAGAGAGAGAGAGAGAGAGAGAGAGAGAGAGAGAGGAGAGAGAGAGAGAGAGAGAGAGAGAGAGAGAGAGCAATAAGCCTCGTGCGCGTGATCCGCATGAGCCACGGAAACTAGATAATATATATTATACTGCAGATTTGTGTTTACTTAATATACATTATGTTTATAATATTAAAATATAAAAAATATATAAGTTATAATATACTAGCTGATCCCGTGCACTTCGTTCCCGTTAAGGTCCGGTTTTTCAATCACATTTATCTGTCAGATAACTCGAGTTATCTAACAGATAAGAAATAATTGATAAATTTCAGTTTTTCAATGTCGGGATAAGCCTTATCCGATGGATATTGTTGCGGATAAGTTATCCGTTACTTTTTGTATCAAATAAATCTTATCCAACGGATAACTAACAACTGATAACATAAATATGGTGTGTTATCATAATTTATCATATTACTTTAAAATTGAAATATGAAATACGTTGTGTTGTTGTCAAACTACAAAGTGTTTATGATTTCTGCTGATATCACAGAACGATTTCTTATCAATTCCATCATTGACCAATCATAATCAAATAGGTATGTGTAACTTGTTCCATAATCAATAGTAACTACCTTCTGTTAGTACAATTTTCCTACCGACAACTTTATCTGTCAGATAGCTATCTGGAGAATAAAATTACATTGAAAAACCGGAATCACTTTATTTGAAAGATTATCCGCCAGATAAGTTTATCCGACGGATACGTATCTGGCGAATAACTGGATGAATGAAAAACCGGGCCTTAATGTATCAACTTTATATGACTCAAACTTTGTTCAATTCTTTATTTAATATTCGGTGTATGGTGTTCAGAATTTATCTTAACTTTTCCGCCACCCTGAATAAAAATTCTGATTCGCAACAGTAAATTATCAGGTAGGCAATCTACAATCTACATGCGGTAGATTGCGGACCCTGTGCTGTTTGTACGTAAATGTATGATTTAACTCTATAGTATCAAAGTTATACCAAATTTGTGGTTTTCACTTAATTCCACCTACGGTAGATTAATATAATCAATTTATACAAAATCCTATCCTAACCTAACACCTAACACCTCACCTAATATCCGATGAATAAAATAAAACAAATTTAACCCTTTGTAAATTAACCCATCTTCTTCAAAGAGGTCTAATCTACCCACAAACATTAATTGGCCTGTAAAAAGCCAAAGAAGAAGAAGAATTGATAACTCCATTGTTTATTAAGTTAGAAAATCGATCAAATGCCATAAATCTTCTCCGGAATGAGCTCTTTAACTAAAAAAAAAAAAAATCATAACTATCAGTTCAGTATAGTTTCCGAGAACATATCACTCAAAGGTTTTCATTTTCACATTTATATATATAGATATAATAATATATTATATAAAATCCAATAAAAATGTTTTGAGATGTAAAAACATACTGCACTTATAATAATATTATAAACAGGAGAAACGATTTGGTTTGTACTAATAGTCTTCGTGTACGATTTCCAGTGTATATTTTCTTCTAATGCTATACTGCAGGTATACATGATGTATCATAATAAGCATCATAATAAGCATCATAATATTATAATCTATTTTATAATTTCGACATGATTATTTTCCTCCAGAAACGACCGATAATAATGCGGAAAATGTATTGTTTCGTATATTTATTATAATATATACTTACTGTTATTTATTATTACTCTGCTGGTGAGAGATTTCTATTCACGGATGACATTATCTTTAATAATGATAATGACAACAATAATAATACCAATTATTGCGATTAGGTTTTGTCGGATATTTTAGATCGTGAGAATATATG